TCTGAAAGGGTGTGAGCCTAAAGCAGGCCACTTGAATTCCAAATCCTGCCTCTGCCACCTTCTACCTCCATGACCTGCGGCAAGTTATTTAACCTCTTGATGTCTCTTAGGTTTCTGTTTCTTCATCTGACAAATGGATGTACCTCACAGGGTCTTGTGAGGCTTAAATAAGCTAATTCATGGAAGCACTAGGGACAGGGTCCCATCCACAGCAGTGATCTGACTTCTCTCTGAGTGTTGGAATTAGGTTTCCCAAGCCTAGTCTCCCATGGAAACCCCTCACCACCCGCTTCCACTAGACTGTATATTGGGTCTCCCCCATCCCCTCACTAGGCACCCTGTCCCTCTGGACCAACGTTAGCATTATTCCCATGCACCCTAGTCTCCAGCTAATAGGGCAAACTCTTCAAGAAAGGGGAGGAGAGTTGGTTCCACAGGAGGGCTACAACTACTGAGTCATTGCACTCCTAAAGATGCTTAGCTCTCAGCCCTGACATTTCAACACCTGCCCCCCTGCATACACCACCTCGTTCAAGAGCCTCTCCCCACCTCCTCCCATCCCTCCAAAGCCAGCCTCAGCTACTACAGTATCTTGTTTGTTTTGGTTGGGTTGTGTGTGTGTGTATGTGTGATACTGGGAATTGAACCCAGCGGTACTCTAYCACTGAGCTACATCCCCAGCCCTTTTTATTTTTATTTACTATTTATTTGTTTGCAGTACTGGGATTGAACACAGGGGCACTGTACCACTAAACTACACCCCCAGCATTTTGTATATTTTGTAGCTGGGATTACAGGTGTGGGGCACTGCACCTGGCTTTATTTTTTAATATTGATATTGGGTCCATGCTACTGCATCTATATGGTTTTGACCAAAGGTTTTCTTTAATAACAAATCTCCGAACTTTTGCACCCACATGCAGAAATAATAATAATAATAATAATAATAATAGCTTCTAACAAATGACAGCTTACTTTTCAGATCTCTTTCAACTCCTTCTAAGCATGAATACTTCTAAACATGAGGCACTTACAAAGATTTAGAGTAAGATGAAGAGCTGGGATTCTACCTGGGGAGCCCTAACTTCAGATCCTATGCCCTAAACCACTAAGCTGTGGGGCTGACAGGAGCTCAGTGGTAGAACATACACAGGCCCTGAGTTTAATCCCCAACACACACACACACACACACACACACACACACACGGAAACCAAAAAACCACTAAAGCCTGATGGAAATGGGCACAAAATGGCTGGATTGCTTCCTTGGGGTGCAGGTTAGACCACTAGAGTTAGATCTTTCATATCCCACCAAAAATTCCTTAAAAACCTTTGGTGCTGTCATAATAGAAATGCGGTGATCACATTGTATGAGAAAGGATTTATGTTTATAAGCATTGTTATTGCATTTATTATTTATGACCTGTTTTAAAGATAAGAACTTTAAAGGCATCATTAAGAGTCCATTATATTGTTCTGACACATCCAAGAGGTTGGAAGCAGGCAGATAGGGGAGGAGAGTGAGCCAACACAGAGGTCACCAACTCACAGCAGCAAGAGCCACAGAAGTCACACACTGGGGAAGACAAATTCGCAGTGGTTGCCATCTTAAGTGCTACTAAGATGACTTCCAAATCCAAATTCAGGGACCACTGGACAGCCCTTGCCAGTGCCCTTTTTTATTTATTTATTTTGAACCCAGAGGTTCTTTAACACTGAGATACATCCCCAGCCCTTTTTCTTTTCTTTTTTATTTATTTATTTATTTATTTTATATTTTTGGTACCAGGGATTGAACTCAGTGGCACTCAACCATTAAGCCATATCCCCAGCCTATTTTGTATTTTATTTAGAGACAGTGTCTCACTGAGTTGCTCAGGGCCTCAGAATTGCTGAGGCTGGCTTTGAACTCGTGATCCTCCTGTCTCAGCCCCCCCCCCCCCCCCGGGCCACTGGGATTACAGGCATGAGCCACCGTGCCCAGCTTTATTTTCTTATTTTGAGACAGGGTCTTGCTAAGTTGCTTAGGGCCTTGCTAAGTCACCAAGGCTGGTCTCAAGCTTGCAGTGCTCCTGCCTCAGCCCCCTCAAGTCACTGGAATTACAGGAATGTGCCACCATGCCTTCTCCAGGGTCCTTTAAGGCTCTTACTTCCCATAAGTGTAGGAGACAGCAGACCAGAGACACCCCCTCCTTCAGGTCACTTTGTATAGTCAGAAGTGATCCCRGTCTGAAGCCCAGTTTCCTGTGCCCAAGGGTTCTAAAAACTCCCAGCTCTGTTGTTTAGTGCCAGAAAGAGTAACTGTAGAATAGGCTCAAGGAAGAAACTGGAGTGAGTGGTCCATATGCCAAACACTGTGTTCAATAGTTCAACAAAGAGAAGTCCCCATGAGCTGCTGTAGTGGGGGGTGGGGGGGGTGGGAGGGACTTGAGATGAAGGAGGGCTTATCAATACCAAGGCAGAAAAGTTACACATAGCAGACCCTCCTAAAGGCTCTTCTAGATCCCTAGCAAGTGCAGACTCCACAAACACCTGTGCCACAGTCTAGGGCCTAGTGAGCTGTGGGTAAGAAAGAAAAGGCAGGCCAGGCCTTCGGGCTGCACTGTCTCTGGCTTCTACTTGCCTTATAAAATCCTGAGGGATGGAAGGAAGCCTATTCTTGGCAATTCTGCCCCAAGGTCTCCTTAAGAAAAAGTCTTTCACTTTTTTTTTTTTTTTTTTTTTTTGGTACCGGGGCACTCAACCATTGAGCCACATTCCCAGAATATTTAAAAAATATTTTGTTTAGAGACAAGAATCTCAATAAGTTGCTCAGGGCCTCACTAAGTTGCTGAGGCTGGCTTTGAACTCAAAATCCTCTTTTCTGCCTCAGTCTCCTGAGCTGCTGAGATCACAGGCATGCATTATCACTGGCTGGCAGTCTTTGACACTTAGCACTCTCCACCTAGGCACCTCAACACCATTTCCCCAAGATGTGAAGGGGCTCCTAGAGGGCCTAGCTCCTGCACCTACTTAAAACCCCAGTATACCCACCCCACACTAGTGCATTTATTTTGCTCTAATTTAGTAGCCCAATTGCCCCAGCCCAGGGCCTCCACACCACAAAGACAGCAAACTCAGCCCCTGGAGAACAATCACCTCAGCTGTCCCCATCCTCTAGCTAGCTGTAGGGAGCTGGGAGCCAAACCAGAACCTCCAGGTCCCCAAAGTCCAAAGTTGCATGGCAAGGTCATGAGAAAAGACCTCACAAGAGGTATACTTTTTGCACCCTGGGATTATTCACTACCAGCAGCAAAGAGGGAACTGTTTCAAATGGACTAGGCTAGACCACAAACTCTAGAGTAAGGATCTAATCAGAATCCTGCATGTGTGCATGATTTGGAGATAAGAGGGTAGAACATTCACCAGATTCTCAACAAGACCCATGACCCTAACTTCTAGCTTTAATTCCTTCCTTCCCCGTAGTCATTTCACCATATCTGGGCTATCCTAGCTGACCAGGATCTGTTCCCCTGCCTCCTGCTCCTTCCAGTGGCAGAAAGTAGACAGAGAAGTTCAAACCCAACCCCTCTGCAGACATCCTCCAGCTTCCTGTTGGATGAGAGATGCTCCCATCCCCGAGATACCACTCTCCATTCAAAGGGAGGTCCCAACTTCACACTTGTTCCAGCAGGGGCCAAACCGAGTGATGAGATGACTTCCTCCGTCAGAGAATTCCCACTCACCTCCTTCAGGCACCAGGCTAACTCCACCAAGCTATAAAGAAATGGTCTGTGAGGCCCAGATCATCCTTTCTGCTGGGTCAGGTGGCTGCAAGTTAACCAAGGGAAAGGCTTATCCCCAACTCTCTGTTGCTGCCTGAGGAGCAGGTAGGGAGTGGGATGGATGGTCTTCTATCCAGTATSACCTCTGAGACGTCTTATTTCTAAACTCCCAGTTAGCCCCTTCAATCTCTACTGCCACCAAGGGAAGGAAAATCTAAAACCTCCCTCCCCTTAAAACAAATTCCTTCCTGGAATTTAGCTCCTTTCTTGGAGTTAAAACTTTTTAAAAGAGGAAATGAAATGGCTAAGCCAATGCTGGGTGCATGGCAACAATGCAAAAGAGAAAATGAAGAGGACAGAAGGAATAAAGGCAACCGCCAACCCCCTGGAGCGTAGCGCCCWGAGCACTTAAGAGCCAGAGGGGCGGGGTGGGGGGCAGCAGGGGCGGGGACAGCGCATTCTGAACTTTCCCTAGCCCGGTCTCCGGGAGATGCAGCTCCCAGGGGACGGGGTGGGACCAGAAACGGCTAAGCCGACCTGTGACATCGGCGGGAGCAGGAAGCGAGTCTCCCCTCCCCCTAAAAGGAGCTCTGCTCCCAGCCGGCACCCCAGCCTACAGTCGCCGCCCTGCCTGCACCCCCAGGCCAGGACAAAACGGGGAGGGGCGCCCACACAAAAGGGGGAGCGGCGGGAGAGGGGACTCAGGCGGCGCCGGCTCCGGGAGGCCTCCGTTTCCTCCCCCGCGGCGCCGGCCGGCGACCACCCCTCTAATAGCGCCCCGAGCTCCCAGCCCCAGGTGCCCGCACGCCCCCCGCGATCAGGGCCCGGGATGAGGTGGGGTTCGGGAAGGAGAGGCGGGCGGGGACCTGCCACACGCGACTGGCGCGGCGCGGGCTCCGGGGAAGCCGCGGCGACAGCACCGGGAATCAAACTCGCGACGGCCGGGCCCTCGCGGCGGCGCCTAGGCTTTGGGTCCGCGAGAAGGTGGGGCCGCCGGGCCGGGACCGGGATTGCGCGGGGCGCCCGGTGGGGTCCACGCCCAGGCCCGGGCGGAAGCCGGCGAGAACGAAGGAGGGTCTTACCGAGCAGCCGCCGCGCGCCTCCGCTGCCCGCGGGCCGGTGGGGCCGGGCGCGCCGGCGGGCGGGGGAGGGGCGGCGATCCCGCGGCGGCGGCGGCGGCGGCGGCGGGCCGGGCTCGGCGGCGCGGCTGGGCGCGGGGAGGCGGAGAATGCGAGGCGAGGCCAGCTTCCTAGCGGCGGGCCGCGAGAAATGCAGCTGTCCCTGCGCGGCTGCCGGCGGGGCCACAAGTGGGGCCGTGCAGGGAGGAGCGGGGCTGCAAGGGGGGCGGGAGCCAGGGTGAGGTGCCCCCAGACCCTCCCGGGKGCCCGACCCCTCTCCAGAGAAGAGGGAAGCAGAAATGGGGGTCCCGAAACCAGCGCGGTTGCGGGAGGCTGGGGGTACCGGGTGAAGATCAGGACAATCCCCTCCGTGTCCACCCCACACCAGCTGCATGATTCCCTGGCTTGCAGGGAGCCTCAGTCTCCCGGTTAGAGCGGGGTGCGGAGCGCACTACCCCTCCCGGTAAGGGAGCAGCGCGTGGAGGTGGTGGGGAGGGGAGACACACAACCTCGGAAACTTGGATGGGGAGAGCCTAGGAGCAGAGCTGATCCATGAGATTGGAGGTGTAGCCCAGAAACCCACTGTAAGGGTGCAGCCTGTGGACGCAAACCTGGGGCTGGGGACAGGAGGAGTGTGGGGGAGGGACGGCTCCCCGGGAGTTAGGGCCCTGGCAAGGAAAACAAACCGCTGAGGTCAGAGGAGATGGTGGGGTGGGGCAGGAAATCAAAGCTATTCCGCATTCACACTGTCGGGTACCACTTGCCATCAACCTATCTCTTCTCTGGCGCCCACCTCCTCACTTAAGGGACTTTTGAGCCCTAGAAAGATTTGTTTAATAAACGGGAAAACTACTTTGGCTGTTCTTTTTCCCACGTGCTTTGGTTTCCAACTCCAATTTATTGGTGGTAGGATGGGGCAGGGGGTGACTACCAAGCAAGAGGAACTACTTAGGAATCTGAGGAGGGTGAAGGCCAGATCAATTCCAGCTCTGTCTCCCAACAATTTTCAAAGGATTGGGACCCTTCTGGGAAAGCCTGTCTTAGAGACCCACTTGCCCCTCTAGGCAGGGACTCAGAGGAATAGCTCCCTCTCCTCTCCTCTAAAGCCTTGCAAACTGCTAGCCTTCCTGAGAAGAATCAACATACTCAGCCACAGAATCATCTGATGGTAAAAAACCACAAACCAAAGTACCACAGACACCAATGTGTTTCCATCATTTGCATGTCAAGGGTAAATTCAGCAAGTTGGGAACCTGGAGAAACAGGGAGAGACCTCAGAGGCCCAATATTAGGTTAGCATGTTGAGCTGAGCTCCAGGACCGGGTTCTCATACCCCTCTGAGAATCTCCTTCGTTCCTTTGCTGGTGCTCCTTCACTTGGTTGTGTATTCAATTTCTGGGAGCCTCAAAAGTCCAGGAGATGATCCCTAGACCCCAGATTAGAGATTCTTATTCTAGAGGGAGTGACCCATGCCTCTTTGCTGACTCCTGACTCCTCTCCCGTGTTGTTTGCAGTTCATCTGCCACTTTTCTGCTTACTGGTAAGATCCCCCTGGGGTTCATCCCTGTCACTTTGGCATTTCAAGACTGCAAAAATGCATCTGTGAACTTGGAGATTTCCCTGTTTGCACCTGCCACTGAATTGCTCATAAAATGTACAAATATCATTATAGTCATCAATAAAACCAGTCTCTGTGATAGACACTCTTGCTTGTGTAAGTTTATGGGTATTACCTCTTATAATCACCACGAGTGTATTACCACTTGTGTAACCTCTCCCACCTCCAACGGCTGCCTCTGAGCCCCCAGGGTTCCAGGCCTGATCTCCCTCCCACGCTCCAGCCCCTCATGCCAACTGGCACAGCTTCTCCACCTGAGAATCCTTTGGACACCAGGAATTGAAGGAAGCTAAAAGCACACTTACAGCTATTCTGTCCCAAGCCTCCTTCTTGTCTCAGTGCCACTCTGGCTCAGAAGTGGGAAGCCTCAACCTTTTACCCCACCCCTTCCTGGACATTCTGTCGGTTTCCAAGTCCTGTTTATCAGTCCCTCCTTTCCCTCCACTTCCATCTATCCCCCAGCTCCTGCCTGGTACAGGTCCCTACCATCTGTGCTCTTCTCAGAGGGTGAGATGTCCCTATTGCTTTCTAGCCAAACCTCCTGTCTGCCTCAGAAGACTCTTAGTTCTTGTTCTTCCTGTTTCAGACCTACCAACATTYGAGGAGGCCTTGCTGTCAAACCACTGCCCTGTTGCTGTCTTCCTTGTTCATCAATAGACCCTCCAAGATGTGCCCACTTATATGCTCCCTGTTTCCTCAGCTTCCTACAATTGGGCCTTCTTCCCCATCATTCCAGGGGCAGCTCTCAATGGGAGGCACTGGCACCTCACTGTTTTAACTCATGGGCCTTTTGCTTGTCCATACTCCTTGGCCCCTTCATGGCCCCAGATCCTATTAATGCCTCTAAGAAATTACTCCCACCCCCATGGCCTCCTAGTTGCTTGGTTCTTCTACCTACTCCTTCATTTCTTTAGCTCTGAYTCTCCAGGTCTCAGTCCTCTGTCTTACAAACCCCTCTTCCCAGGTTGTGCTCACAGAGGTTAATAGCGTGGAGCAGGTACCAAGCTCTGACAGCTTTTCCTGTATGCTGCAAGACCTTAGGACAGTTACTTAACTCTCTCTGTGCCTCAGACTCCTCTTCTGTCTTTGGGCTAACACTAATACTTAACCTCAAAAAATTGTGGTAAGAATAAAACAATCCACACATGTGAAGAGCACAAAACAGCACCTGTCCTGTAACATAACTGCTGGTATTGTTGTGTGTGTGTGTGTGTGTGTGTGTGTGCGTGTGTGTGTGTGTGGTGCTGGGGATTGAACCCAGGGCCTTGTGCATGCAAGGCAAGCACTCTACCAACTCAGCTATATCCCCAGCCCTGGTATTGTTATTAATAATTATACATCTGCCCTCAGGTAGAATGTACTGATGACCCCTCTCTGCATCCCATTCCCTTTCTCAAGTCCCCAGTCTAGAATTTGAACATTCCAGCCATTGGAAATGCTGTCCCACAGCGACCTCATTTTTAGCGTGGCAAGCCTGGAACTCATCATCTCCACACCCTCCTTTGCCAGAATCTCCGTCCTGGATGAGGACACTTGCCATTCACCTGAGCTCCTGACCTACATGCTGCCTTCCCCATCTCCCACATGCAAACTCCACAGTAAACACAGGGCTTTCTAATTTCTGATTTTTTTCCTGGAATCCACCCCCTATTCGTTCCCACATCCTGTCCTATTTCAGGCCCTGCCACCAGGGTCCCGCCTGTCAACTCATCCTCTTCACCATTAGTAGCTGTTTTTCTTAGCCAGATGTGGCGGCTCATGCCTGTAATCCCAGCTACCTGAGAATCTGAGGCAGGAGGACTGCAAGTTCAAAGCCACCTCAGCAACTTAGTGAGGCCCTAAGCAACTTTATAAGACCCTGTCTCAAAATAAAAAATAAAAAGGGCTAAGAATGTGGGCTGCGGTTGTGGCTCAGAGGTAGAGCACTCACCTACTCTGCGTGAGGCACTGGGTTGGATCTTCAGCACCACGTAAAAATAAAGATATTGTGTCCGCCTATAACTAAAAAGTAAATATTTTTTAAAAAGGGATAACGATGTGGCTCAGTGCTTAAGCACCCTTGGGTTCAATCCCCAGTACCAGATAGATAAATGATATAGATAGATAGATAGATAGATAGATAGATAGATAGATAGATAGATGATGTTGAGGGCCACAGCCGAGTTGGGATAAGGCATGGCATTTTGCCAGAAGGGAGTGGTTGAGAGGTGACGCCAGCGAGCCATTGAGATGATGATGGTTAAGTTAAGCTGTGTATTCAGTTGTACATAGACCTTTGCTGTCCGGCAATAGGGCGGCTCTTGCTGCCTCGGGGTGCCCGCTACCTTGGAGTTCCCGTTGAGTTCTCAAGCGGTTCCGGGGGAGTGCGTGTGGAGCCGGTGGAGGGTGAGAGGGTTCCCAGGGAGCGTGTGTGGAGTGCCAGTGAGAGTTCGGGAATAAAGAGTTGCTGTTTGAACCTACAAGTGCTTCGTGGCGGCTCAGTTATTTGTGCCCAGCCAGACTGCAACAAGATAGATAGATAGATAGATAGATAGATAGATAGATAGATAGATAGATAGATAGATAGATAGATGTTGGATGACTCCCCATTGCTTGGAAAATAAAATTAAAACTCTATTATAGTTTGGATCTGGAATGTCCCCCCAAGGMCTATGTGTTAAAAGCTTGGTACCTGAGGAGGTGAGGCCTAGAGGGAGATCTTCAGGTCACTGAGAACATGCCATGAACAGCCCCCTTTTCTTCCTGTCTTTCACTGTCATCCAGTTTTGCTCTGCAATGTACTCCCTGCCAAGACGTGTTGCCTTGCCACAGGCTCAAAAACAATGGGGGGCACTGGGGTTGTGGCTCCGCGGTAAAGCGCTTGCCTTGCACTTGCAAGACCCTGAGTTCAATCCTCAGCACCACATAAAAATATATGAATAAAATAAAGGTATTGTGTCCAGCTACAACTAAAAAAATAAATATTTAAAAAAAATTTTTTTTAAAAGCAATGGGGCCAATTGATCATGAACAGGAATCTCTGAAACATGAGTCTAAAAAAAACCCTTATAAATTGATTATCTCAGTTATTTGTTACAGTATCAGAAAGCTGACTCTTTTGATTTTTAATATGCTTTTTAGTTGGCAGTGGACCTTTATTTTTATTTTTTATGTGGTGCTGAGGATCGAACCCAGTGCCTCACTCATACTACTAGGCAAGTGCTCTACCACTGAGCCACAACTCCAGCCCAAACACAAACTCTTTACAGGGTCGTTCCTAGCCAGTCCCTCACCTAACTCCCAGCTCCTTTCCTKTCCTGTCCTCATCCTGCCCACACACCCACGCTCTAGAACCCACTAAGAACACTGTGGGTTTCCATAGAGTAAACAGGAAGGTGAAAGGAGCCTTTTGTTGAGTCTGG